ATCACATCAAAGAGTCCATCCTATCACATCACAGAGCCATCCTATCACATCACAGAGCTCATTCTATCAGATCACAGAGCCCCTCCTATCAGATCACAGAGCACATCATTTCAGATCACAGAGCTCATCCTATCAGATCAGAGAACCCCTCCTATCACATCACAGAGCCAAACCTATCAGATCACAGGGTCCTGCCTATCACATAACAGAGCCATCCTTACACATCACAGAGCTCATCCTATCACATCACAGAGCTCATCCTATCAGAGTCCCGGGAGCCCTGTGCCCCTGCACGTGGGAGGACACCGCCCGGAGGAGGGACTGGACGTGCTGCTCAGCAGCAGGGAGGAGCCCAGGGAGGGGGCCCGGGGAGGAGGCCGAGGGCTGGCTACTCTGCCAGGCCCCTGGGCCCCCAGCCTGCTGCTCGCCCGCTGTCAGCTCACTCGGCTCTCCCTCAGGTGACAGAGATGCCGAGTGTCCCCAGGAGTCTGCTCCCTGCACCCCTGCCCCGCGTCCCTGGTGGGGCCCAGCCTCTTCGCCGGAGCCCAGCAGCCCTGAGTCTGAGAGCAGAGGCCTTGGGCCCAGGCCCAGCCCCGTGTCCTCATCCTCCTGGGAAGGCAGCCCGCAGCCCCAGGGCTGCCACCCCAGCAGCGCCTTCCCCACGTGGACACTAGACGCTTCCCGCCTGGCCGTCCTGGAGACGCAGGTGGCACAGCCACGGTCCTCAGAGACAGAGGAGGCCCCAGAGGCCCCGGACCCAGGGGAGGAGGTGAAGAGTGAGGGCCCTGCGGGCACTGCCCACGCCGGAGCTGTCCAGCCCGATGCTCACCTGGCTTCCACAGGAGGGTAAGTGCAGGCTGGTAGCGGCCCCTCCTCTGGCACGTCTGGGAGTCCTGGTCTGGGAGCGGGAGCCGCGCACGCAGGGATTTGGCGCTCCTGTCAGTTAAGCTGGGATCGTGTGCCTGGCACCAGCAGGGCTCTGAGGAAGACAGGGCAGATTTGGAAGCATCGGAAACCCAAGAGCAGACAGTCATACACATGGGGTGGGATCTGAGCCAGAGCCTGTCCAAGGCTGGACAGCAGGAGGGGCGAGTGTCCAGGAAACCTAGCCAGGCCCATGTGCCCAGAGAGATGGGAGCCGCGCCAGGTAGGTGTGGGGCATGGGAGGGCAGAGCACGTGCTGTGGGGTGACACAGGCTTTGACTCTGAGGAGGCATCTGGGAGAAGTTAACGTAGGAGCCTGGGCCCGGGAGCTGGCTCAGATCTCAGGGGAGCCGGAGCACCACGGCGGGCTTTCCTGGGAACAGGGAAAGGGTTGGGGGGTCCAGAGCAGCCCGAGTAACCCAGACCTGAGGCCAGAGGTGGGAACAGGCAAGGTGGGAAGCCAGCCTCGTTCTGCCTCTCCAGATGCTGGGTGAAGACACAGACCCTGGTGTCCCACTGGGAAAGGGGGTTGTTCTCTGGCTGGCGAAGGAGAGGTCAGACTGGAGAGGACAGGAGGAAGCAGTGGCGGTGCAGGTCCTCGAACTGAAGCTGCACTGCCTGCAGGGTCAACCACACTCCCATCCCTGTGCCCCTGCATGTGGCTCAGAGCCCCTCCTATCACATCACAGAGTCCCTCCTATCACATCACAGAGCCCCTCCTATCACATCACAGAGCCGCTCCATCCTATCACATCACAGAGCCCCTCCCATCAGATCACAGAGCCCATCCTATCACATCACAGAGCCCATCCTATCAGATCACAGAGCCCATCCTATCAGATCACAGAGCTCATCCTATCACATCTCAGATCCCATCTTATAAGATCACAGAGCCCCTCTTATCAGATCACAGAGCCCATCCCATCCGATCACAGATCTCATCCTATCACATCACATATCCCCTCCTATCACATCACAGAGCACATCCTTTCAGATCACAGAGACCCTCCTTCAGATCACAGAGCTCATTCTATCAGATCAAAGAGCCCATCCTATCACATCACAGAGCCCCTCCTATAAGATCACAGAGCCCCTCCCCTCCGATCACAGAGCCCATCCTATCACATCACAGATATCATCCTATATGGATCACAGAGCCCCTCTAATAAGATCACAGAGCCCCTGCTATCAGATCACAGAGCCCATCCTATCAGGATCACAGAGCCCATCCTATCAGATAACAGAGCCCATCCTATAAGGATCAAAGAGCCTATCCTATCAGATCACAGAGCTCATCCTATTAGATCACAGAGCCCCTCCTATCACATCACAGAGCCATCCTATCAGATCAGAGAACCCCTCCTATCACATCACAGAGCCCAACCTATCAGATCACAGAGCCCTGCCTATCACATCACAGAGCACATTCTATCAGATCACAGAGACAAACCTATCACATCACAGAGCCATCCTATCAGATCACAGAGACCATCCTATCACATCACAGAGCCCCTCCTATAAGATCACAGAGCTCATCCTATCAGATCACAGAGCCCATCCTATAAGATCACAGAGCCCATCCTATGAGATCACAGAGCCCATCCTATCAGGATCACAGAGCCCATCTTATCACATCACAGAGCTCATCCTATCAGATCACAGAGTTCATCCTATCACAACAGAGAGCCCATCCTATCACATCCCAGAGCCCTCCTATCAGGATCACAGAACCCATCCTATCAGATCACAGACCCCATCATATCAGGATCACAGAGCCCATCCTATCAGATCACAGAGCCCATCCTATCACATCACAGCGCCCTCCTATCAGATCACAGAGCCCATCCTATCACATCACAGAGCTCATCCTATCAGAATCACAGAGCTTATCCTTTTGGATCACAGAGCCCATACTATCAGATCACAGAGCTCATCCTATAAGGATCACAGAGCCCATCCTATCAGATCACAGAGCCCATCCTATCAGATCACAAAGCCCATATTATCACATCACAGAGCTCATCCTATCACATATCAGAGCCCATCTTATAAGATCACAGAGCCCCTCTTATCAGATCACAGAACCCATCCTATCAGGATCACAGAGCACATCCTATCACATCACAGAGCCCCTCCTATCACATCACAGAGCACATCCTATCAGATCACAGAGCCCACCCTATCACACCACAGAGGCCCTCCTATCACATTACAGAGCCATCCTAATGTATCACAGAGAACATCCTATCACATCTCAGAGCCCTTCCTATCAGATCACAGAGCCCATCCTATCACATCACAGAGCCCCTCCTGTAAGATCACAGAGACCCTCCTATCAGATCACAGAGCCCATCCTATCAGATCACAGAGCCATCCAATCACATCAGAGATCTCATTATATCTGGTTCACAGAGCCCATCCTATCGGATAATAGAGCCCAACCTATCAGATCACAGAGCCCGTCCTATTGGATGACAGAGCCCTTCCTATCATATCACAGAGCTCATCCTATCAGGATCACAGAACCTATCCTATCAGATCACAGAGCCCATCCTATTGGATCACAGAGCTCATCCTATCAGGATCACAGAGCCCATTCTATTGGATCACAGAGCCCATCTTATGAGATCACAGAGCCCATCCTATCACAACACAGAGCTCATCCTATCAAGATCACAGAGCCCATCCTATCACATCACAGAGCTCTTCCTATCAGATCACAGAGCCCATGCTGTCACATCACAGAGCTCATCCTATCAGATCACAGAGCCCCTCCTATCACATCACAGAGCTCACCTTTCAGGATCATAGCACCTATCCTATCAGATCACAGAGCCCATCTTAGCAGGATCATGGAGCCCATCCTATCAGATTACAGAGCCCATCCTATGACACCACAGAGCTCTTCCTATAGGATCACAGAGCCCTTCCTATCACATCACAGAGCTCCTCTATCACATCACAGAGCTCATCCTATCAGGATCACAGAGCCCATCCTATCACATCACAGAGCTCATCCTATCACATGACAGAGCTCAATCTATCAGGATCACGGAGCCCATCCTATCAGGATCACAGAGCACCTCCTATCACATCACAGAGCTCATCCTATCAGGATCACAGAGCCCCTCCTATCAGATCACAGAGCTCATCCTATCAGTATCACAGAGCCCATCCTATCACATCACAGAGCCCATATTATCAGATCACAGAGGCCATCCTATTGGATCACAGAGCCCATCCTATCAGATCACAGAGCCCATCCTATTACATCACAGAGCTCATCCTGTCACATGACAGAGCTCAATCTATCAGGATCACAGAGCCCTTCCTATCAGATCACAGAGCCCATCCTATCACATCACAGAGCCCATCCTATCACATCACAGAGCCCATCCTATCAGGATCACAGAGCCCATCCTATTGGATCACAGAGCCCTTTCTATCAGATCACAGAGCCCATCCTTATCAGATCACGAAGCTCATCCTATCACATCACAGAGCCATCCAATCACATCACAGATCTCATGCCATCAGGATTACAGAACCCATCCTATCAGATCACAGAGCTTATCCTATTGGATCACAGAGCCCTTCCTATCAGGTCACAGAGCCCTTCCTATCACATCACAGAACTCATCCTATCAGGATCACCTAGCCCATTCTATCAGATCACAGAGCCCATCCTATTGGATAACAGAGACCATTCTATGAGATCACAGAGCCCCTCCTATCACATCACTGAGCCCATCCTATCACATCACAGAGCCCATCCTATCACATCACAGAGCCCATCCTATGACCTCACAGAGCCCATCCTATCTGTTTCCAGAGCCCATCCTATCACATCACAGAGCTCATCCCATCAGGATCACAGAGCCCATCCTATGAGGTCACAGAGCCCTCCTCCTCGGGCACCTGGCCATTCCACTGGCCTTGGAGATGCAGAGGCTGGGCCATCACTGGGGCCAAAATCTAGACAGAGAGGGACCCTCTCCCAGAACCAGTTACTTCAGCCCAACGTAAAACAAGGATACCTATCTCAAATGAAAACCGTACTTCTGGAGTATATAATGAAAGGGTTAATTGGGGCCTTTCTTGGTAAGTGATACTAAAGATTCCATAAATAAGCATATTGAGTCTTATATTTAACACAATATAAGAGGTTTAATTTTCCTGGCACAAGCTTGCTGGCCCAATAGCTATCCTTCATTCACACTCGACTTTCACAGTGAGATCACAGAGGCTTATTTCATTTTAGTGACAGCTCAGTTAAGATACAAATCACTCGTGAACGTGTACAATCCATGACAATTTATATTTTCAGAGGGGTTTTTCCCTCCCAAGTGTCTCTCCATCCAGATATCATTTTAAGAAGAGCACCCATTGACAGGGTCATTTTGGCAAAGTATTTTAGGGCTTCGTCCGCCGATCATCCATAGAGTTTTAGTTGTCTGTAGATGGGACAAGTGTGTCTGTTTCACTTCCTGCTCGTCACTGTTCGCTGGACTAACTCTTTCGGCTTCTCGGTCAGTGGCTTTCCGTGTGGTTCCTGGGATCTTCCCGCATCACTTTCCCCGACTTCATCAAAGCCTGCGCGTTTTTGCCAGATTCCTAACTTTACTTTTCAGTTGGTTTGCATTCTGCCCTGTTGGGTGTGTCTGAGCGTCAGGACCTGGTAAGAAGTTACCAGCGGACACGGAGCCCGTTCCTTGGAGAGAGGGCCCTTATCAGTGAGGTTCTCATGTTAGGATGAGTTCTGCTTCCGTGCACAATCCCTCCCTGTGGCAGCTGGGATAGCGAGCATTCAGATAATGATGATACCAGGGCAGGGTGGTGCTGTTGCCAGGGAAACCGAAGCGTCGGGTGGAGGTGGGACTGGTGACCTCTGAGGGTCTGCGTGTCAGACTGAGTCAGTGGGGTGGCCGGCCGGCACTCACCCGTGCCAGGCCACCATCTTGTCCTGTCTCCACGGGAAGGCCTTCCATGGCACCAGGGAGAGACAGGCAGGCCGACGCCCCACCTTCGCCACCCCGAAGCCAGTCTGGCTTCCTCTTCTTGCCTCATCCAAGCACCTTCCTCGGTCGCAGGTCTGGCCGTGGAAGCTGGAGCTGGAGGATGTGGGAGGGGCAGGCGTTCTGAGGGCTCCTCCACGACCGGACCCAGAACCCATGTGTGCCCATCCACGTGAGAGTGAGGACACGGATGGCCTTTTGCAGGCTTCCTGAGAGCCCCGTGCCCCAAGGCAAGTTCCTAGAGGAGGGCCAGGGGCCGCAGGCTGCAGACAAGCTGGCCAACGGCGTCAGGACGGACAAGCGGGCCTGGGACCTGGCCTCCCGCCTCTATCGCCTGGAGGGTTTCCGGAAGTCCGAGGTGGCTGTGCACCTGCGGAAGAAGTAAGGGGCTCAGCCTGAGCGAGGGGCCCTTCCCTTGGGTGAGGCGGGCAGGCTTGCTCCACCATCCACCCCTCCCCAACACTTCAGCCCATTGCTGCCCTCTCACCCCATCGTCCTGTCCTGGTTGTACCCCTCCCCTGTCCAAGCCTTCCTCTTCCTGTCACACTGGTGTCACCCCTTCTCCACACACTTGACCCAGCTTAGAGCCATTGGATTGGCCACTTTGCCTCCCAGCCCTGATCACATGTGGCCCTGCCACCCAGCATGAGGTGGGGGCCGCTACAGATCAGACCCTGGCTGTCCCTTGCCCTCTCGGGTCGCAGGGTCCAGCTGGCTGGGCCTTTGCCTTGCTTGGGGCCCCCAGTCCCAATCCCCAGGCCCTGGGATGTGCAGGCCTGGGGTTCCCCCTGCCCCTGTGCCTCCCGCCCCCTCCTCCACCCAGACATGATCCCCACTTCCCTCCACAGCAATGACTTCAGCAGGGCTGTGGCTCAGGAGTACCTGTCCTTCTTCCAGTTCGGTGGCCAGAGCCTGGACCGGGCCCTTCGGTAACGCCTGGGCCCTCCCTGGGGAGGAGGGGTGGCCGGGCAGACCCTGCCCGAGCTCGGGGCCTGCTGTCCAGCCGGGGCCTGTCCTGATCCGGGCCTCCTCCCAGGAGCTTCCTCCAGGCGCTGGTGCTCAGCGGGGAGACCCAGGAGCGGGAGCGAGTCCTGTTCCAGTTCTCCAGGCGCTTCCACCACTGCAACCCCGGGCTCTTCTCCTCAGTAGGTAGGAGGGCAGGGCTCCGGGTGCCGCGGGCGGAGGGAGCCTGCTTGGGAGTTCCCTGGTGGCAGCTGCTGGGTGTGCTTGGGGGCTGTGGAGAACCAGAAGCACTTGGGGGTGCCCTGCCCAGTGTGGGCAGCGGGAGAGCCGAGTCCGGTCCCAGCACTTTCCACTCACCTCCCTGGGACAGATTCTGTGCACACCTTGACCTGCGCCATCATGCTCCTGAACACGGACCTGCACGGCCAGGTGAGCAGGTGGGGAGAGCGTCTGTGGGACCCCAGGCCTAGGCGGGGCCAGGAAGGACCGTGGGGAACTGGAGAAGGTTCCAGGGCGGCTGGCCGGGCGCTTCCTCTTGGTGGGGGTGCCAGCTGTCCCGCTTCTCTCCGTGCCGCAGAACATTGGGAAGAGCATGAGCTGCCAGGAATTCATAAGCAACCTGAACGGCCTGCAGGACGGCGGGAACTTCCCCAAGGAGCTGCTGAAGGTGCGCTGCCGGGGCTGCCCACGGAAGGCTCCCTCCCGCCCAGGGCCCGAGCCGGGCTCCTGGTCCCCAGGGGATGCTGTGCTCGGGCCTGGCTTCACCCAAATATCCGCCAAGGACAGGGTCCCTTTACTGACTGCAGGGTCACCGGGGGATTTGTTAGCTCGTGCAAACGCCCAGCCCTGCCCCGGGCCTCCTGGACCAGACTTCTGGGGCTGGAGCCCCCGAAATGGTCACAAAGCTTGATTCTGAGGCCTGTGAAGTCAGAGAAGCACTGTTTTTTCTCCTCTAAGTGAAAAAAGGCAAAACTTCAAAAAGAGGAAGTCTAGAGCCAGTGCTCCGGCGTTTGAATTCTTGTCTTGGACAGTATAGCCCGTGGCCAACTTGGGTTCCTCCTGGGGTCGAACCACTTAAGTGTTGTTTTCAGGACGACATCAAGTGAGTCAGGAGCTCACAGTGCCTGGCACACAATGTGCTCTTCGTTAGCAATTGCAGCATTTATTGAGCACTTATTAGGTGCCAGGCACCTGCAGGTGTGCCCAGGACTACACAAAGCTGGCAGGATGCATCTATGTGAATAGTCTGTTACATCATGTGAAAGCTCAGCACCTCATTCATTCATTCACTGTAGTCATTGGCCCCATCAGTGAGCCGGCCCTGCTCTGGCAGCCCCCTCCGTGCAGGATGGTATGTGGATGAGTCCTTTCCCTTGGAGAGAAGAAGTTCAGGCCTCGCTGAGCTCAGGCGGAGACTAGGACAGCACAATGTCCAGCACATGGCAAATGCTCCATGAACGGCGGCATGCGTGTGTGCGTGCGCAGATGAGCTCCTTCCCATTCACGGAAGGGGGGCAGCTGTGTTGGGTGGAAGAGGCAGGTGGCAGCACCCCCACCCTACTTCTGCCAGACGGAGTTTGGGCCTCGCAGTCTGAGGCTCCCTGACCACCGTGTGCCTCTGTTCCAGGCCCTGTACTGGTCTATCCGGAGTGAGAAGCTGGAGTGGGCCGTGTAAGTGACCTTCCCTCCCCACACTCCTCCCTTCCCTTCCCCATCCTTCCCCTCCCCCCGCCCACCTGAGGGCGGGTAACACCTGG